CAGCTATGAAGCTGTTGAAACTATTGCTCGACTTCGACCAGCTCGCAAGAAGGGTTGGGAGAAGATGACTCGAAAAACTTAGTTCAACAGCTATGAAGCTGTTAAAATTATTGCTCGACTTCGACCAGCTCGCAAGAAGGGTTGGGAGAAGACGACTCAAAAAACTTAGATCAACAGCTATGAAGTTGTTAAAATTATTGCTCGACTTCAACCAGCTCGCAAGAAGGGTTGGGAGAAGACGACTCGAAAAACTTAGTTCAACAGCTATGAAGTTGTCGAAACTATTGCTCGACTTCAACCAGCTCGCAAGAAGGGTTGGGAGAAGACGACTCGAAAAACTTGGTTCAATAGCTATGAAGCTGTTAAAATTATTGCTCGACTTCGACCAGCTCGCAAGAAGGGTTGGGAGAAGACGACTCGAAAAACTTAGTTCAACAGCTGTGAAGCTATTAAAATTATTGCTCGACTTCGACCAGTTCGCAAGAAGGGTTGGGAGAAGACGACTCGAAAAACTTAGTTCAACAGCTATAAAGCTGTCGAAACTATTGCTCGACTTCGACCAGCTCGCAAGAATGGTTGGGAGAAGACGACTCGAAAAACTTAGTTCAACAGCTATGAAGCTGTTAAAATTATTGCTCAACTTCGACCAGCTCGCAAGAAGGGTTGGGAGAAGACGACTCGAAAAACTTAGTTCAACAGCTATGAAGCTGTCAAAACTATTGCTCTACTTCGACCAACTCGCAAGAAGGTTGGGAAAAGAAATAGTAGGACGAAAAAGAATGGATTAATTGAAAGGAAAAGCTAATCGACCACAAGAATCGACAGCAAATAGAAACGATTAAAGGGATAAAGATAATATTATATTAAGGAAAGATTCTTACATCCGAAGCCATCCCGACCTTTACATCGGAAAATATGTCAGGACGGCAATAAGAAAAACTACAAAACAAAAACAAACAAACAAACACTACAAAAGCAGATAAATCTAAGTCCTATGGGAGTCGGCCGTCGACTTCTCAGCGGCGTCTTCACCCTCAACACCAATCGGCTCAGTTCCGGCACCTCCCCCCTCCTCGACCCGCTCCGTCCCTGGCCTCTCGACCTCTATCTTCTCGTCGAGCTCCTCCTCATAGTCAGCCCCGTTGGGCTGGACCAATTCAGTCGGGCCGACTAGGGGAGAAGGAGGGACTTCAAGCAGAGACGAAAGCTCGGCCGCGTGAATAGCCTTGGCCTCGAGGGCAGTCCACCGCTCACGGCCAGGAGGAGGTCCTCACTGCCCTGGAAGCCTTCGGGGTCGGGGAGGGTCTTCTTCACTTCCTCCCGGTCGATCCTTCCCGGAAAGTCGGGTTGGACCACAACTTGTTCCCACGTGTCACAGGCAAAGTCAAAATATCAGACCGTCGTAGGAACCAACTCGTCGAGGAAGTCGGACGACTTGCAAAATGCCTCGACCACAGCCTCACAGTAGTGGGCAATGAAAGCAGCGCCCGTAGGAGACTTTAAGAAGGTCCGACGACCTTCCTGAATCCCACTCTCCCTCTCGACCATGACCTCGTCATTGGCCTTGATCAGGTCGACTCTCAGCCGCTCAACCTTTCGGACAGCCGCATTCTTATCAGAACGGAGTTTGGCGATGACAGCATTAGCAGCCTCGAGTTCTTCCTCTTTGGCCGCGAGCTCCTCGCACTTGGCCGCATATTTTTCCCCCAGAACCTTGACGTTGTTCTGAGGAGAAGACGCCTCCTTGATCATGGAGGGAAGAATGCATGCGAGAAGCTGAGAAGAAAAAGGACAAATGAAATGATTAAGATGTTGGCGTAACACTAAAAAGAAAAGGAAAACACACACAAGATGAAACTCACCCGAGGGATGAGCCAAGCAGCATAGCGGGCCCGATCGTAGGGATTACCGTCGGTGCGGGC